AATTGATTATTAATTTCTATTTAGGCTTTGACAATTTTCTACCTGCCAAGTTTTAATCCTAACTCCATATAAAGCATTTTGCACATTAATGTTTTCCACAACGATACCGGATACACATGCCATGCTTTTATCTTTCCCTAGCCCTCCTAGGCTGTGAAGAGAAAGAGAAAATGACAGTAAGAGACAGGATTTATTAATATATAAGCAGATATAATCCACATTATTTATTTAAGCAAAATGAAAATGAAATTCAGCTGTACATCTAGGTCCTTTTGGTTCGCACATCAAAATTGGAATCGGAATCAAAATCCTTTGAAATTAGAATCGGAATCAGAATGGTTTGTTTCCATAATTGGAATTGGAATAGCCTGTTCCGATTCCGATTCTAGACCCGGAATGGTCTTCCTAAAAGTATGCATGTGTTAAGAGAATAAAAACCTATTCAGGAACTTAGGAACCTCACCTCACAGCTTAAGTTTTTAGGTTGAATGGTTCTTTTAGATGATATTAGAACATTTATGACCAAGTAGTCGATCCCATCACTCTATTATAATTAATTAAATTTTATCAGCGCAAGGTATGAGTGGATTTTGTGCTTTTACACGCTTAAAGCCCGATGTACTTTTAGTGCGAGGGGGTGTATTAGAGAATAAAAACCTATCCAGGACCTCACATAACAGCTCAAGTTTTTAGGTTGGACGGTTCCTTCTGAGTGTGTATGTAAGCTTATTACCTAATACCATGTCCAGGGCCACAGTTGATGTGATGAATATGAACATTTGAACACCCAGTTTGTATGGATACACAATCATCTCCTGTAAAAATAGAACTGGTGTATAGTTAGGAAAAAATTAAGCAAATTTCTAAGCTTTCATTAATGGATCTCTAGACATGCTTTTTTATCCATTAAAATTGGCCACGTGTATGGTGAAGGCGCTAAACAGGTTGATGGATCTGTAAACAATACTACAAGAATGGCTTAATAATATTCTATATTACCACATCCAATATGGGAATGTTGAATTTCGACATCTTGTGTGTTCTGTAGGTGAATGCCGTCGGTGTTCGGACTGGTTGCTGGCGAAGAAATTGTGATATCTTTAACCTTGATTCTGCCTGAACTGTCGAACTTTAGATGGCACTGTGGGCTGTTTACGATCATGATGTCACGAACTGTAACATCGTAACTTGAATAGAACCTCAAAGCCTGCAAAATGAACCCAGAAATTCAAACGCACATAACTTTGACCCTAGAAAAACCCAGAAGGCTGATTCGTATGAGTTTGAAGGAAACATTCAGAAAATTGATGGCCCGAGCCATAAATATAAAGGATTGAGGATTTCTTACAGTTGGTTTTACATTTGGTATGCATTTGGATCTCTTCTGCACGAAAATAGACAGGAACATGCTGTTAACCAATTGTATTTTGTATTTTTCCCACTCTACCTGAATGCTGGGGAAGGAAGTTGTTTAGCTAACCTGAATAAGGTTGATTTGAGAGAGATTCCACCAAGCAGAACCTTGGCCATCAACAATGCCAGTTCCTTGAATTGTGAAATTATGTACCCACTTGAAGTTTATCCATTGAAACAAGGTGGACTTTGGCCAGGCACTAATCTTTGGAGGAGCTAAGAGAGTCCCATCTATCTGTTTAAATTTCAAACAGATCAGATTCCTCTATTTTCTCTTTTGGCTTATTTGTTTATCTTTCCTGGGGGAAATAGAGAAATATTAATAAAACAAGAGGTGAAGAACACACATTTTTAAGAAAGGAAGTACACAACAAACCTGAAGAACAAGGTGAGGCATACAAGGGCCTTGGAATGTTATTGGTCTGATGAGAAACTTGAATTCTGATGGAATTTCTACTGTAGCCCCTGGAACCTTGCATGCCGCTTTCCATGCTGCTTGGAATGCCTGCATCATCAGATAGATCACCATTAACAAGTTAGAACACTATTTAACAACTACATATTCACATGCACTCACACTCATTCTCTCTCAACACATTTTCCAAATTCCAATTGTTTGCACCTTAGAATCATCAGAAACTCCATCTCCCTTAGCTCCAAAGGACAGAACATCAAAAATGCTGGAGTGGGTTCGATAAGAACCAGAGGAAGGAGCAGGGTCAGGTTCACGACTAGGAGAATGAACTGGCCCAGGGGAATTATCACCATTCTCACTTCCTCTTTGCTTCTGATTCCTGTGAGCTTTGCTCTTCCTTTTATGGTTCTTCTTAGCATCAACTGAAATTGTAGAGAAGGCAAGGAGTATCATGATCAGACAAACAAACAGAAAGAGCAAAGATATATTCTTGCTTTTCTTCATCTCTTCAGCCTTACTCTATTAAGCAGAGGATGTGATCTCTGTTTTAAGAGTTTCAGGTGTAACTCTACTTGAAGCAGTGGAAGATGGTGGTTACAGACAGTTTATATAGAGGAAGATTACAAAAATGGTTAGGACTTTTTCTGGGTACAAGTAGAGCCGGCATTTACTCATTTGGAATGTTTTGAAGACTTAATTACGAAAGTAATCCTACCTTTCACAGTCCAACTGACAATAGGCTTTTGGTTCTTTGAGCTCTGCAATCTGAAGCTAGAATTCAACTCTTTATGTAATGGGGAAGCAAAGCAAGCATGAATTCAACTTATTTAGGTCTAAACTAAACCACCATTATCATGATACCCATAAAAAAGAAAACAAAAAAGAATAACGATAATAAAATAAAGAAGGAAATCATGGTTGTGATTGAAGAACTCAATTCTATCAAGTCATGGATGGTTAATCTGATCCACTAGATCCATGTGCAGGGTCTTCGAGGGTACATAGCTCAAGATCATTAGTTCAACTGGGTTGTGGAGATTTGTAATAAAGCATACTAATACAGCATTACATTAGAATATAATATGTTTGGACTCCCTGTGGAGAGCAAATTATGGTTGCATGATAAGCTAATGAAGATTAGTACAGTCTGGTCTGTTTATGTCAGCCTTTCTCATTTCCATTGCATGCTAAAGGTAAAGGGGATTAGTGGAGAATAGAGCTTAAGAGAATTTTTAACCCTAAACTTCATAAAAGTGTATGATTTTAAAACCATAACTTGGCATTGTCATTTCCGAAATTTGGCTTCTAGGTGGTTCTAGTTTTAAGTTGTACATAAATGAGAGCAAACCACTCAATCAAGTACCCATGGCCATGGGTGGTGCTGTGGTGGCGCAAACCCTACGACAAGAGTGAATTTACTAGAATGGCCTAGTGAATCTTGAAATAAGTTAGTATTCCTAATCACATTTTCTTTTAATTTGAGAAAATTGTACGAATACCCCTAATGCCACAGACCGGTTCTAACATCCCCCATTACTTGTGAAACAATTTGGGATTTGTTCTTCTACGAATCTCAACTTTAGGCTCAGTTTGGAAGGGGTTCAAAAACATATATGTGCAGTGCAAATACATACAAAACGAAAGATTTTGGAGATGTTTGGAACCGTGGCCATTTTTCAAAAAAAACGGTGCCACATCGGATTCATACAGGCGTTTCAACAAATGATCATGTCAACAAACACTCATGTATCTCATTATTTAGTTCAGCAGATTATTAAAAAATCGGGCATGCCTTGAAAATCGGGACCCCACCGATGCATAAAACACCAAATTTGGAGTTTCATGCATCGGTGAACCGTTTCCCCCAACGGTTGACTGATGTGTATCCTATGCAGTTTTTACCTGTCAACACATACATGAAAAATGGTGATGAAAATCACTTTACCAAACAGCATAGTATTGCTCAATGCCTACGTGACAGAAGCGTTTTTTTTGTGAAAAACAGGTATTAGAAGTATGGACATTTTTTCTTGAAAATCAATTCTAAAAAGCAACCACACTTCCAAACACCATGTTTGCTGTTTGCTTTGAAGTACAAATACAAATTAATAGAGTGCAAATACATACAAATCACTTACACAAGGTTTTGCGCACTACATATTTGTATTTGTGCTCTTTCCATGTGTACCGTACAGATGTATATATTAAGTGCAATATCCGGAGCGATGATTCCAAGGTGTATTATGAGCAAATCCCTTTTAGTAGCGAGCCTGGAGGTATATTGAGCAAATCCGGAACAGAAAAGCAGAATTGCAAAAGCCTAGATAGGAGGAATCACAAATATGAGAGTCCCAGAATGCATACTACAGAATAACTGCGACAAAGGTGTAGGATCACAAATAACAGGCTTATGAGTCCGTCAAGTGAATCCAGGTTAAAAAGATTCACAATGATAAACCCGATGGGTGATGGCAGAGTAGATAATCCACTATATCAACAAATGGTAGAGATAAAAATTAAGACGAATACCTTCCAGTCTTCCACACACTGAGAACTTGTTACAATACACTCAAACATCCAACCTGAAAACTCTCCTGCGCTCTCACCTGCTTTTCAAGTAAAAACTACTTATTTGGGGTGCAGGCCAAAATGTTCCAACACATTTTAACATGATGTATGTCCGCACATCCCACTCATACCGCCGAGCACCCCAAAGGAGGTCAATGGAGGGCAATCATCACTTTAGTAGCAGATATATGCCCATATTTATTTGGTTGTTTGGCAATGGAAGGAAGGTGAAGAAGAAGAAGAAGGTATTTTGGGTATTTAAATATTATGGAAAGGCAGTTTTTTTAGTTATATAAGGACCCATATATAGTAGTGAGCTACAACCTTTCCAGGTGGCTCACATAGTCACATCACATGTTAATGCGATGGAAGGTAAAAAGGCGGATTGTTCTGAATATCTACATTGCAATGCTTTTGGGACTTGGGAGTTGGGACAATTATCTTGGTCTGATATCTTCTTATCTTCTCAATGCTTTCCCTCGCTTTCTGTTACTCTCTTATTTATACAGCTCCAAGGATTTTTGGCTTTACTATGAGCCTTATGTGTGCTGGTGCAGGGGAGATTCTTTTGTTCAAACAAGGCCCAGCCCATTTAAGTCCCTATAAGCGGACAATATAGCGGAGTTTTGCTCGAACGCTGCAGCCCATGGCCCAGACGATTTGTGTGTTTGGCATGCTTTCGGTCCAGATACTCTGATCTGATCTTATCTGATGAAGTAGTTATAAGTTTTTTCTATTTTTAACCAAACATAGCCTCAAATTTTAAAAGGTTCAACTATGATACGGAAAAGATATAACATCTGAAAAACTTCTGACCAGTCAATTGGAATCATAAATATGATAGCCATTTCATTGGTTGGCTTTGATTGGTCAAAATTCTTCCCATACTATATATTTTCCCATCATAGATTTAAAATCAGAAGAACTGCAATGCATCATTATTCTGGAGAGGGAAGAAAGAATAAAAAGGATGAAGCGAAGGTTTGGAGGAGGGAGGCAACCAACTGGGACGCCGTCACTCGCATGGTCCTGCATCGTTGTTATTGTTTCGCTTCTAGCAGGTGCCTCTGTCATCCACAACGTCTTCAACCCTGATCTGGTAAATACTCTCTCATACATGTTATATATGGGTATTGGGTGTGTCGTGACTGTATTGCTCCTTTGAAGCCTATAAGGTGTTCGACACATTGGCTCAACTAGTGCAAACATAGAAGTTAGCTGCGAATTTTCCATATAATGAACAGACACTGATGTGATGGAACTGATGCACAGGCACTGCCCCCGTGGAGAGCGTATTTGGAGCGAAACAAAACCAGCCGACGCAAAAATGAATGGTTTTGCTTGAAAACCCAAGTATGTCATTCGGGTTTAAATCGACACCGAAATCATCAGAGAAATGTGTTTCAAAAAGACTAATCATATTGGAATTGTTCCTTCCTTTTTTCCTTATTTTCTTAATTAGGGGTTCCACCATGGAATTGTGTCTCAATGGGACGGTCTTTGGTATAGGATGAATGGTCCAATAATTGCATCAAGTTACTTTGTTTCGTATCAGTGGCATGGGTAGAGAAAATGATCAGAAGAGGGCATTACTTCACATTTGAAATCGCATTCGCAAAATGCTCGTTTTCGATGCATAAGTACAGACGCCATTTATGGATGGGTGTCTAGAAATCTCAAATTTTCAATTACATGAAAGGAAATTATGTTAGCGTTTCTCAATGTTTTTTTCGGAAGCAGCTGTTGATCATACAAGAATGAATTGTGAGCTTCCTTCTGTGTTTGAAACTTTGAACGCTAACACAAGGTGCACTGTATGTGTACGTCAGCTATGCCGCCCAACTAGCCTCGGACCAGCATGCCCATGCAATAATAGGTTTGGGTCGGGTAATGGCCTGAAATTACTAAACATTACACTGCTTATAGATTTTCGGGTGTTCCCCGATTCCCAAAAGTCAAAAGCCCTAGCATGAAATCCCCTTTGGGAGGGCTTTGACACAGCGGCTTCTGCTTCTGGCGTTGCAAGGTAGGCCTCATACAGAACGTCCTAAAGCTATGCTTGATGAAAACCCAGAAAACCAAAAATTAAGCTAGTTTTAGTAATTTCTCCCAAAGAGGCTCAGTCAACGCAGCTTAATTAACACTGATGCTCTCCCGACTCCCAAATGGGCCCTTAATTATTTTTCCCCTAGATCCATACTTCCTGACCCCAACAACTCAATGTCTGAACTCCAATTGCTTTAGCGAAAGAACCTAATTACTTCATAGCCTACGTTAACAAGCTAGTAGGCCGCTGTGTCTGCTTCTTGGTGTGCAACTTCTCGCATGCTTGCAACGCCATACGGGTGCCTTGTTAAGTTGGTACTTGGTAACGAACTACTTTTCTATAATTAATTTCTAGTTGCAGGTTTGTCAAGAGGGCATCATTTCTTAATATTTTTTTTTTAATCTTCTTTCTGATTTGGAAATACAAGCTTCACTCCTTGCCAGTGGAGGGATGGATTAGGACTTGAGTGGGGTAACACTGGTCCAGGCAGGAAGTATATTCTTTCCTTTTCGTGGAATTTGGATGGGGCATTTCTTGGATTTTCATCAACAATGGCTGTCTCTGCTAAAAGTCTAAGGTGAAGCACCAAAGGTGCACGTGGAAAGCTAAGTAAAATCCAGGCTGCTCCAAAGTGAAAGCTTTTGTTTTTTTCTTGGTGAACTTTCGGAGTGAAAGCTGTGAAGCCACTTTTGTTTGTCTTCATTAGTTAGTTTGGGTTCATTTTTAAGGTGGAGTCCTGCATATGGAATATTATGGATGGTTGGCCAATACCCAACTCCCCCTCTTTCTCTAAATCAAAATTTTAATTGAACACGGATGAAGCAATAAAATCCAAAAACGCGCGCATGTTCTATGTTTGAACTTTGAAATATGATTCCTGAACCTGGCTCCGGAATTGAACAAGTACGGTGGCTTTGTTTGCAATTCAATTTCATTTCTATTCATGGGAGTGTAAATCGGAACAGTTGATTTCTTCTAAATACTAATATTGGGAATTTGACTTTATAGACGTTTGTCTCTCGAGATTGAGAGGATGACGTAGCATTTATTTGGAACTGAATACTGGATATTGACCGCGGATATATCCATTCTGCTTTTGGATGACTGTGTTATCAAAATGCTTGAATAGCACAAAGGGATGGGGGGTACCTTGGCGGAGTCGGAGTCGGGGTCGGGGAATGCAATCCCCACCCCGATCCATCCCGATATATATATATATATATATATATATATATATATATATATATATATAATATTATTTGTTTTTAAAATATTAATTATTAAAACTTAAAAAAAATAAAAGTATAAAACACTAAAATAAAACCCTCGACACTCAAAAAGAGAAGAAAGAAGTCGAGAACTCTCAACTCTGCCTCTGGAATAGCTAAACCAGTGAACCCTAGCTTTGTGCATGCCTTCATCTTCCTTTGTCTTTGATTCTTCGTCGCCGTCAAAAGACTCAGAACCCTAGCTTCGTGTCTTCTCAAGTGATAGAGAAGAGATACTCAAAGAAGAGTTTCAGTCGTCAGTCCTTCTAACCTTTGTTTATTGTCGCTGACCGCCATTGCCCGTCGGACTCTCTCTCGTCGCCGACCTTAACTCTCCCAATGGTCCTCTCTCTCTCTCTCTTTCTCTCTCTTAGTCTCAATCTCTCTATAGCCTCTCAGTCCGTCAGAGATTCAGGTCTTTGATGAAGAATTCATCCCCATCGGGGTTAGGAATAGAGGGAGGATTCCTTTCCCCGCCAAGAATCAGGAACAGAAATGAAGAGTGATTTGGGAGGTCAGAATCAAGGATGGAGAATATAATCCCCGCCCCGTTGGCATTCCTAACGGTCGCTATACCTTGTCACTTTGTGAGTATTCAAAGCAACAAGTGATGACGTCTAATTCTGAATACAAAAGGGACGTTTACAACTTTACAACCACGATGGGATCTAAAAATAGTTCAGGAATCAAATCTACCACGTCATATTATTAATTGGACAATGATGACGGAAAGGGATAACCAATCAACCGGTATCGTAAAAAACAAAGATCAAAGTTATTCAGGCATCAGCCCTTTCCGACATCAAGCCTAAATTATTTCCATAGACCGAGACGAAATAGCGACAGGCAAGCCCATCTCAATACAGTAAGATATGCAACTCCTGATTGGTCTATAAGCGCATATTTTTATTTAGGTTACGTTTGATTTGAAGGAAAATGTAAGGGAAGGAAGGAAAAATATAAAAATCTTTACAATTCTTGTATTGATTTTTCTATCTTTCCCTTCCTTTCCCTACCTTTTCCTTCAAACCAAACATAGCGGGATATTATTCAAAACTCACTATGACATTTTATGGATTCTCTTGAATTTATCAACTTTTCAGATCGTTCACAATTCACCATGTCAATTAGTTATGTCAACCTAAATGCAAATTTCATGACCAAACTGCCTCTTAATAGTGAGTCAACCTGTTAAACAATTTTTTTTGACTGAAGTGCCCTTAAGCGCCCAAACTTCATTCATATATAAGATTTCTGTTTGTTTTGTTAAGATGAGAGTCTTTCTTATTCTCAACATCCAAGGATGAGTCTTTGCTCTCAACGTCCAATAAAGAGTTCTTACTCTCAACGTCCAACGAACCTCTAATCAATTATTTTACCTTTTTTTTTCATTTTTGCTTAATTAAGGCACTCGTTTTTTCATTGAGCGTGGGGGTGGTTTTTTTGTTCCAAAACCACATGTTACTGGTTCCCTAACTAGAAGCGGCTGATGAACACAGAAAAAACAAAATTTCCAGAGCACCCATCACCCATTAAGGTGTTGTTCGGTACTGTTTACATCTCGTGGATGGACCATTTCGGTCCACGCCATGAGATGAAAGTAGCGTTCAGTTCACTATGGATGGGACCGGTCCACATTATCTCGTGGACCAGTCCTGTCCACACCCTATATTCTCAGCAATGGCTTCTTCTCGTGGATGAATTTCTTCCACAGGTTGCCTTTGATAATGTGATTCATGCACAATATCTATAACCCTACATCTTGTTCAAAGTCTCCTCCGCCAAACCTCTGTTGTTGTGCTCCACCGCCATCGCCTCAGTTGCTGTGCTCCTCCGCCAAACCTCTGCTGTTGTACTTCTACTGTTATGCTCCACCGCCATCGCTTCTACATGCTCCACCGCCTCTGTTGTGCTCCATCGCCTCTACGTACTCCACTGCTTCTTTTGTACTCCACCTACGCTGTCCAAGTTCTTCACCGAAGGTAAGATCCATGTTGCATCATTTTTTGATCTTTAACAACATCCTCTCTTTTTTTCCTCTTCATCGAACCTCTACATTGCTTTCTTGTTTTTTTTTATTGGTTTTTTCGTTTCTTTCTGGGTATTGCGTTGGTGGGTTGGTGGTCACAATCTCCAACATGCGTGTTCTTTAGTTCTGGGTATTGCATTGCGGTCTTTTTCTCTCCTTTCTCTCTTTTATTCTTCTCCTATTATCTTGATCATCTTTTCTTCCATTATTTAACTTTATTACAAATTTTAGATTTCTTTTTATTCAATGAAAAATAGGTAGAAAATACTTAAAACCAAATTATACCTATGAATTTGCACAAAATTCCATTGATCACATTTTCCTGTGATTCAAACAATCCTTGACATTATTACTACTTGTGAATAGAATTGGTCATATGACACAATAATCTCAACTACAAGAATTTAGATTGGAAAAATAGAAGAAAACAAAGAATCAATTATAGTGATGAAATAAAATACTTATTTAGGTGCAATAGATACTCATTCAGATGAGAGCAAAGCTGGGTCACCAATAGGATGATACTCCTTGTTAGCCTCCACCACCTGCTTTGCAGATGAGAGCAGAGCTGGTTTTCAAATATGAAAGTTACTATTTTCAGGTCCACAAAACTTATTAGGCAAAGCACAAACAAACCCATTCAAGCCGCCACTGGGAATGTCAGCATCAATGAAATAATATTTTTTAAATATTTAATATATATTTTATATATTTTTAATTATTTTACTATTATTTTATAAAAAATGATATTTTTTGGCTAATATTAATTCATTGATGCATTTTTAAATATTTATCATACAAAATACAAAAATTACATATTTATGATTAACTATGTATATCAATAATTTCATGTACATGAAATACATGGAATCAAAACAGTGTGATATGGACCGGTCCACACCACAATACATAAACACCACTATGGGTGTGGATTGGTCGTATCCACACAGTTTATCCACAATTTAAAACAGCTATGGACTCTGATGTGGTGTGGATTAGTCCCTGCCATAAGATGTGGTGTGGATCACTAATTTCTCATCCACACTAAAAAACACTCCCTAAATTTTAAATTCTAAAAGGAAGAACTTAATTGATTGTGTTTCATTAGAATATTTTTATAATTTCGTCATTTTGAAAAAAATGTGGTGGAAAAATTTCATATTTAAGGAGCGAGTGAGTGGATTCCTTTTGGAATGAAGAGGAAATTGATGTCGCGGTGGGAGATGTAACAATCATAGAAAATCAATCATTGT